AGAGGGACAGGGACCAGAACCACAGTTGCCTTTCCTGTTTAGCAAATTAAAATCTCTCACACACATAGAAATTAAATCCTCTTCCATATTGGAAAAGTAGGCCATGGATAGGAGAGGTAGAGACCTCCCTTCAAGTAAGCATTTGAAAAATGAAGTCATTTTTCTGGAACATATGGGGTAGCAGACATTTTGACTCCAGCCATGGCCACTGAACAGAAACAAAATACATTTGGAGGGGACCAAACGAGAGAGACTCCAGAAATCTGGGCTTATAGCTGCATAGTCCATTAAAAGAAGATACATATATACATACGGCTTTTAAGTTTTCCTTCTTTTCAAATTACACACATTCTACCAAAAAAGTAGCTGATCAAGGAAAACTGTTTCATTCCAAGGGTTGAAAATAAAATTGACAATAAAAGAAGAGCTAACTTGCTGCGATGCCTTTTTTTTTTTTTCTGTCCTGCAAAATGCACTGGAAGATCAGGTCCTGATAGAACAGGGACATGTCAAAGGGAGGTTTTGTCATTTGATTTGTCCCCTTTGCCTCCCATGACTTGCTGGAACCTCTCTGAAGGCTTATGTGGCAACAGTTGGCACTGCTTGTCTGCTGTCGAAATTAGAGCTTAAAATTTTCATAAAGAAATGAAGGCATTTATACTCTGTGTTAATCTATTATAGTCTGTAATATTTTATTTTTAAAAGCTCAAAATGCAAAATATGAAATACTGTCAAGTAATCAACAAAACACTCAATGTTTACAAATATTTATTTTTAAAAAGCTTTAAAAAAAGACAGCCAATTAATTCAATTTACATTTTAGACTATTTAATAGAGGTATTCGTTGTACATGTGGCTTTACTTTAATATAAACATATTTCTCTGCGGAAACACTTAACCTGAGTTGGAATGAAATCTGAATTGAAGAGATTTTAATTTGTAAAAATAATTCTTCTCAAAATATAAGCAAGGATTCCAACTGAGGATTTTGTCTGGAGTCAGGGTTCAGTCCCAGGACAGGAATGGGGGAAAACTCCCTGTAGGTCAAAAGCTCTGCTGAAGTCATAGGATTGCACATGTGGGCCCTTAATGAACGTGAGCTTTCTCAAACACCCCCGAAACGAGGTCTGGATGCTCAGGCAGTTCTGCTTTACTTCAGCTGTGCAGGAAAGAAGAAAAGACAAACCTTGCTTCATTTTGTCAAATGACAGAGGTAGCACAACAGGAACAGAAATAATCTCAAGTAGGTGCTCCACCGAAATTAGAAGAATGTCTGTTCACATATGTGGCTTCAGTGAATAGCAGAATTCATAGAAAACTTTTAATCTATAATAATTTTAAGGCATAGTTGTGACTTAAATATTCATAAAACAGATCTTTATTATTTGTAATAACTCCTTGGATCATCTGAAATGCGTAATTCTAATTCAACATTGATGTGAGAGGATAAGTCACATGTTTGCCCCCTAAAACGATTCTCAACTCTGGGAGTTACCTGCGACGATTCACCTCACTAAAGTCAGCCCGCTTAATTGACATCGGATGCACTGTTCTCATGGTCTTACCTAATAATTATCTTGTCTATATAGATTATTTCATTGTTTATAAGAATTCCTAGGTATTTGAAATAGCTTTTCTAAAATGGTAAAGGCTTTGTCACTCAAACCACATATCTTTCTCAATCCCTATTCTATACCCGCTTGATCTAGAACTTCCCTCAGTAAAGTGCCCCTTCAAAGTGTATATGCAAAGCAGGTGTCAAGACGTACCAGGATAGCCACCAACATAAATGGGATTGTTGGTGTCCGCCGAGGTGGACTGGGTGTGTGGACTTTCAGCAACAACTGTTTTCCCATCGACAATCAGAACAACACGGTGTTTGCTTTTGTTAGCCTGAAGTGTATGCCATTTTCCATCACAGAGAGTATTGGTAGGTTTGGGCTCATATGTGGCTGTTATCCTACCAGCACCATTGTTAACATGAAACAAGACCTAAACAAGCAGACACAGGCAAATTACCTGATGAGTTTTTCCATACTTAAGGAACACAGTCCATTTGTATAATGCTCTTGGAGTGGATACAATCACAGCATTCTGTTAAAAAGGAGGGCTAACTATGAAAAACAAACAATGGTTTTGAAAAATAGCCTCATAAAGGATTCAGATGCTATGCCAGTCCCCAAATTTCAGAAAGGGCAATGGCCACCTCCATGGCAACAATCCTGAGCCATGCTGCATCCCCAAATGAGTGCCGCATTTTCAGGACCACATTTCAGATCATTTTCAGAGTAAATGGGTTTACTGAGGGTGTCAGTTTCATACGAGTCGATGGCACCTATGAAGAACATCTACTAATTCCCTTCTGACGAACTGTAGATGCTCTACCACAGTGAGTGGTAACACAAAACATACAAGTTTTGCAAAAAATGGGAGGTGTTGTGGATTGAATTGCATCTCTTCGAAGTTTACATGTTGGTGTCCTAACCCCTAGTACCTCAGAATAAGACTATATTTGGAGATATGGTCTTTAAAGACATAATTAAGATAAAATGAGGTTACTAGGGTGAATCCTAATCCAATACAACTGGATCCTTATTAGAAGAGGAGATTAGGACACAGAATGGCACAGAGGTGAGACCATGTGAAGACCCAGGGAGAAGGGAGGCCACATGCAAGCCAAGGAGAAAGGCCTCGGAAAAAACAACCCTGCAGACACCCTGATTTCAGACATCTAGTCTCCAGAATTGTGAGGAAATCAGTTTCTGCTGTTGAAGCCACTCAGTCCGTGGTACTTTGTCACGGGAGCCTGAGCAGACTAAGCCAGGAGGGAAGGCTGCGAGTGCCCCGCTCTAAGTGCTTACACCACGGGGAGCTGCTCAGTATTGTTTCAACGTGAACTGTGACAAGCTAAAGATGCACATGACAAACCTTTGGGCAACTACTAAAAATGTTTAAAAAGAACAATAAATAAGCCAATAGTAGAGGATATACAGTACACCAGAAATTACATTTTTATAGCGATTACACATTTCTAATAATATTTCATAGACATTATATAAAAATGTGTACATAGAAAGTGTTTCAAAATTCTTTTAAAATACAAATGCGGAAGAAGTTGGCTGTTGGCCGCAGCACAGAGAGGCGGCAACACGAAGCAGAGGCAGGTGTGTTGGGATGTGAAGTAGCAGGAGAAGAGGTGCAGGACAAGAGGTCGGATGGGACTTCCTTAGACCCTCCCCACCCCCTCTATAGGACACCCTAGGGGTCATGAATCCAGGGGGAGTAAGTAGAGAAATACTAGAAACCACTGAGTACATGCGGAGGGATGTAGAACAGAGGTTTGTTCCTTGCCTTCCAGGCAGCAGACACTCTGGAAAGTTTAAGCATCTTATTCCTGCAACAACATGAGTTGTCCACAGTGAGGACTTGTCCACACTATAATAGAAATGGTGGCAAAGTGCAGTTAGGTAGAGAGAGGACCTGAAAAACCACCATTCCCCATGGCCTGCGTGTGGCATGGCAGGAATTCCCAAGTTCTCGCATGACCCTGTGGGGAAGATGGAAGGTGGCTGAAGACGGAAGAGGCAGCAGCACCCTGACAACTGGGATGGGGAGCCTGACGCACAAGGGGTGATGGCCAAACACCAGTAGCAGTCCCCATGCAGTGGCGGTGCTGAGACCCAGACCACTCACTATTAACTGGCCAAGTGCACAGAGGACAGAAGCTGCCACCTGAAGACCAGGAGCGTGAGCCGCACCTCAACTGCTGTCAAGGAGGGGGGCAAGCAGAAAAGTAAAGAGCGATCGCGACTCCTTCCCTACATCTTGTCTGCACCCAGATGGCCCCAAAGGGGAGAGGAAGGAGTCTGAGAACTGGGAGAAACTCTGAAGGAGCCAATTTTTTTTTTTTTTTAAAGATGACTGGTAAGGGGATCTTAACCTTGACTTTGTGTTGTCAGCACCACGCTCACCCAGTGAGCGAACCGGCCATCCCTATATGGGATCCGAACCCGTGGCCTTGGTGTTATCAGCACTGCACTCTCCCAAGTGAGCCATGGGCTGGCCCGGAAGGAGTCAATTTTAAAGCAGAGGAGACTAAAGTAATGACGATTGTTGAGTTCATTTTGTTTCCGACATAAGAGGGATATGAGAGGCTGAAAATGTATAGAAAATAAATAGTTATAGAAAAATAGAATATAGAAAAAAATATATTTGTGTGTAAAAAAAATTAAAAAATTAGAGTGTGGTACATCCAGCCCATGGAGTGACACTCCACAATAAAGGGAAATGAACTGTTGACACACACAGCAACCTGGATGAACCTCCAGGAATTAGGCTGAGTGTAATAAGCCAGTCTTAAGAGGATGCTCACTGTGCAAACTCATTTATGGAACACTTGGGAAATAACCACGAGAGAGCTGTAGAGGAAGTTAGTGACGGCCAGAGGTTAGGGGGGCAGCAGGGGCGAGAGTGGTATGAAGGGGTAGCTCAGGTGAGCCTCGTGGTAATGGCACAATTAATTGTAACCCATGTGTATCACAAGCGACACACAATAAAATTGTGTAAAAATACACACACAAGTGTGCCTACATAATTGTGCAACTGAACAAGCTCCGTGGACTGTGCTGATGTCCCTGGTGTGGATGTGATGTTGGCCCACAGTTATGCACCAGGCTACCCCGGGAAGCCTGGCGAAGGGTGTGTGGGAACTTCCCCGCGCACTGCACTGCAGCGTCCTATGAATCTAAAATTATTTACACATAAACAGTGAAAAAAGTATTATAATGGATAGGGTATCAGGTGGGCAGCTTACTGGTACAGGAAAAGAAAAGTCGTTTGTATTGTAGTTGCAATTTTGCTGTACATCTAAGTTCAAATATATTAAAGAAGATAGCCTTTTAGGATTATCTGCTTTTTAAATATTAGCTGAATCTTTTCTCAACTCCATTCAAGTGTGTGAATGAAATTTGGATCTAGGTATTTCCACTGCTTCTCAGTTGTGCTGTCTTGGGCACTGGCAGGAAGGGGACCCATGAAGATGAAGCACCCACCTTGCCATGTACAATCTCTAGGCCAATGGCATCCACTTTAGCACTGCTGATCCCCAGGAGGACGCCGTTCTCTGAGGAAGCACGAAACTCCAGTGTGATGTTTACGTCTGATCGGACTTTGTAGCCTTCTTTAACTAAAAAACACAAGGACAGCCCCGAGGAAGGAGTGAGCCTTGCCCAGCCCTGGCTGGTTCAGGCTCAGAGAGGCATGGGCTGGGCTGGCTGGCTGCACATTCGGGCTCCCACTGAGGTTCAGGGGACCTGGCTCTGGCCTTTCCTCTGGACCCAGCTCCATCCTCACCAAAAAGTCACTCACCCACTTGAGCCTTAGTAGTGCTTTTAAAGAAGACACATGCAGCCAGCTGGGGTAAGCCAGACTAGAGCAGGGGCAGGCCCATCCTTCACCTCCAGCCCTGAGGCACCTGGCACCACCCTGCCCTGTGAATATGTCCATCCTGTGGCTGTCTTTCCCCTAGAATCATCCAGGAATATGCTACTTGCTTTTCCTGGTATCTCCATACTGGGCATATCATCATTTACTGAGAGTATCAGAGCTCACACTAGCTTTTTTAAAAGTGGGGACTTAATTGAATGATGTTTTATTCAGAGTTACAAAAGCTGAGAAGCCAAATCAGCAATAGCAGGCAGTTGTTAGCATGCCTGGGGCTGAAGGAGAAATGGGAGAAGGTGGTGTTCCCCGACAGTGGCAGCTGAGAATGTAGAAGGCTGCCTGGTGGGGGCTGCAGCCTGGCGGGGGCTGGAGCCTGGTGGGGGCAGGAGCCTGGCGGGGCTGGAGCCTGGCGCTGGCTGGTTTACACACATCATGCTACTGATTTTTAATTCAAAGGCCTGTATTAACTTGGACAGTGAGTGGGCCTTACATAAATTTGGGGCAACTACAGGTGAAGCCAGCACCCCAGGTTTGGCCTCTATCAGGAGTCACACCACTCCTGGTGAGAGAATGACTTCATCGGCCCAGCTGGATAACACGAGAGGTCAGGAGGCTTTACAGTGAGAGTCAAGAAATTAGGAATAACTAGAACATTTACTAAATGTGGTCTTGCTGCAGCCTTGTCCAGTTGGGTCCTGTCTTGTCATATACTTCTTAGGTCACATCGTCTTAGAGTATAGGCTAATCCCAAAGCTTTCTTTTGGGATTGTTGATGATACATACCAGGAGCTGCACATCCACTCCCTTCAAAGAAAGTTCCTTCCTGGGCCACTGCATAGCACCTGTTCACTGCAAAGGCAGATACCGGGATGTCCTTGTCCAGCTGTTTGCTGGTAACTGTCACCTCCCCGCTGCAGGCAGGAACGCTGTGGGTGATCTAAACCAAATGACATGTGGGAGGAGATGATGGTGATTATAACGAGACGGGCTAGGACAAATTTTTTCTACAATTCATCAAATTTGTCTCAACAAAACACATTAAGATATTATCTTTTTGGTTCTTAAAATTTAATTGTGACAATACTTCACATGAACATCTAACTTAGAGCTACCATTTCAGTATCTTTGCTAATAATGCATTAAAAGTGTTTTTTATTATTTTAGTGAAATATTGTGGAAATCAAGAATGCTGTGTTTACTAACGTACAAATGCAAACTGGCTGGACTTTGCTGACTTGTCTGGGGCTGAGTGGCTGCAGAAAGGGTGCTGAGGCTGCTCGGGCTCTAAGGGGAAGCCCCCCATGCCATCTGTGCATGTGCTTTGACAGGGCTGCATCTTGTAGCTGAGCCCTGGGTTCAACAAGATCATTTAAATAAAAACATGCGGAGAACTCTGTGTCTCTGCAAAGTAAACACAACCACCAGGTAAAGCAGGCTCCACACAGAAACACGGCTTACATTTCCAATGTTCCTGGCCCTGTAGTTGGAGGGAAGGCCCCCTAGGTACAACCTCCCCTCCACGTCCAGTGTGGTCCCATCCCCCACCGTGGTCACCATGGGGGACTCGTGGCCGTCAACAGTCATGAAGCCTTTTCTTTTAACATACTCTGTCTTCACCTACAACAAGATGAAAGCATCCATCATTTTTAAGGAATCTTTAATAGATGTAGGTTTACAACATCTGTTCATTACAGCTGTAATAACTGGAATGAAATTGTAAAGGATGGCTCAGATTTTTACACAGCTGCTGATGAGAAGAGACTGAATCTGGAAGAAGACCAGAAGCAGGGTGGGTACAGCGCTCTGTAGACCAGAAAGTGCTCTGGAGTCCTGCTAATGAGAAGGCAGAGGCCAGGATATGAGGTTTGGTCCTTTCACACCTTATTAACTTCTGAGCTTTATTTACTTCTCATCAACTCAAGAACATTTTTGGTTCCTTTCATTCATTCCACCAATGTTTGCTGAGTGTTTATCAGGTGCCAGGCACAGAGCAGGGCCCTGCGGATATTTCAGGAATCAGAAAAGATCCCTCCCTCCAAAGAGCTTACACTGTCTGGGGAAGACATCAGACAAAGGCAAGCCAGAGAGCAAAGGTTATAGTTTCCCTTCAGGGAAGTGCTGTGAGTACCAGTAAGGGATGGAATAAAACTCGGACCAAGCGATCACAGCCTCCTGAGAACGTACCATGTGCCACTTGCCATCACTGATCAGCGCAGGGTGGGAGACCTGTGTTCTGCCTTTACCAAGGTCAAACATGAAGTGGAGGTGGCCCCCGTGAAGCTGGAGCGTGGCGTAATCAACCTGGTTCTGATGAGCCATGTAGTAAATGAGACCACTGGAGGCAAACGTCCGGATGCTTAGCTGAACCGAGAGCCTGGAGGAAACGAGAGCTTGGCACTCAGGCAGGAACAAGGTTTTGCCCTTTATAATAACCTCGAAGACAGAGCCCAGTAACTGTTTCAGCGATTATATCTGACATCTCTGGGGAGTCGTTCGTTCCTTCTTTTGTTTATGCATCCATTTATTTAACGAGTAGTCACTGCACACCTCTGCCTGCCTGTAGCTGATCTAGGAGCTGAGGATAAAGCAGTGAAAAGAGAGGAATAGCCCTTCTCTCATGGAACGATACCAGAAATTCACTAGAGAGTTACAGCTGGGTCCTGCAGAGGCTAACTGGTGGCTCCATCGAGTAGTCAGGGCAGGTCACTGAATGACAAAAGGAGCAAGGCACTGCTAAGCTGGGCAGGAAAAGTCTCCATTCCGTTTTAGGGCAAAATGGAGTAGGTTGAAATAACTTGATTATGGTGATAGCCAGGAATGCCCGCCTGTGCCACATGGGAGCTGGAACGGCTGCGGGTGTGGAGGAAGACTGAATCTGGATGGGCCTCCCTCAGAGGGAGTGCCATGTCACTAGGCACACAGGGATGGGACGGAAGAGAGCCGGCTCCATCACAGTGGACAGGGGGCTTTGCAGGTATTTGCATTTTATTTTAAGTGCAGTGGGAAGTCACAGGAGGGTTTTAAGAAGGACAGTGGGCATGACTTGATTCACATCCTCAGAGACCCTTGGTCTGATGTGAACCAGTCAGATGGGCAAGGGTGACAGCAGGGGTCCATCAGGCAGCTGTCACACAGTCCATGGAGACCAGGCGGTAGCTTAGTGGAGGGGGACAGAGGAGATGCAGAGGAAGTGAACTAATTCAGGAAAGTTCTGCAGGAAGAAGCAATAGACTTGGTGACGGACTGAATTTGGAGAGTGAGAGAAGGAAAACAATAAAAACAGCCTCTAGGTTTGGGCCGTGGGCAGCAAGGTAAATGGCGATGTCATCTACAGAAATGGCAGAGAGCAGGTTTCGGGGAGACTGTGCATTTTCTTTCACTGAGATGAGGCTGGAAGCCTGTCCCAGCCCACGGGGAGATGTCGAGTGGCCGGCTGGGTGTATGGCTCCTGAGTGACAAGTAGAGGTCAGGGCAGGAGCGGTGGGTGCTGCCAGATCTAGATGGAATCTCAGAGCCACCCTGGGGAATATGCAGAAAAGGCCCTGGGCACTCTCTGCCAGGGAGGAGCCAGCCAGCAAGGGAGACTGAGGAAGGGCGGGCAGAGAAAGCAGGAGATCCAGGAGAGCGCAGGGCCATAGCAGCCATGGAAGTCCCAGGGCTGCTGAGAGCCCACTGGAGGGGGCACTGTGGGATGTGGCTGCACATGGGTCCTAGATAGCTCTCAGGAGCAACCGCGGGGTGAGGGGTGACTGGCTGGTTGGAGGTGAATGATGCCTGAGCAAAGGGTAGACAGCCACTGAAGGCAACTCTTCCAAGAAGGCCTGCAGGGGACAGCACCAGGCTACTGCATGTGCGTTTGGGGCTGGGGAGGCAGAAGTTCCCAGGGAGCTTCCTTAGAAGCTAGAAACATGCAGAGAGGGAGCAGCGCACCCTGGTGACAGGCCCAGACTCTGGAGCCACAGGCCTGGGGTTGAATCCAGCTCTACTGTTTACAGACTTTGAGCAGTGCCTAAACTTCCCTATGACTCAGTTTCCTTATCTGCAAAATGGAGGTAAGAAATACCTTCCTTGTAGGATAACTGTGAGGAGTACAGCACGTTACAGTGTACAATGCAGTGGCAGCCTGGCACAGCATCTGCTGCTCTGGCCATCACTGCAGACGACAGGGGTGGTGGCTCTTCTGTGTGCTGATGGGAATCATGGACTGAGAAGGGAGAAACAGCTGCTGCAGGTGTCCTAGGGAGGAGCGGGTGGGATCCAGGGGGTCAACCAGGGGGTGGCAGGAGAAGAGCTAGAGGGCTGGGGACACAGGAGGCAGCTGGTAGCAGACAGAGGAAGGAGCTCCATGTTCTCAGTGAGGCAAGTCATTGGCCGGGGCGCCAAGAGGAGGCAAAGAACGCACGAGGGTGCTTCCAAAAGTTTGTGGAAAAAATAGAATTAAAAGATCATACCAATCTTTCCATGAACTTTCTGGAGTACGCTGGTATTAGAGAAATACACAGCTGGGAGGTCCCATCTGAGATCAGGGGCCATGGCATTAGAGACAGACCATCGGGAAAGGAGATGCACGTCTCCAGCCGTGGCCTCTGGCTTGGCTCCCAGTGTGGAAAAGGCCAAGTGCTGGGTGACCTGGGCTCACAGTAGTGGGAGAGAGGAATGGGTTCAGGGAGTTTGCAAAGGACACTTGTAATAATAGCATGGGACCTATCTGGGTTGGGGATAAACTGTGACATGGGTCTGGAGACAAGGGGAGACGGTCATGAGGAGGCTTAGCGGCCAGCAGCCTCAAGTCTCCATGAAGTTAAGAACTGCTGGAGGGGAAGTGAGAGGAGAGACAAGAAGGAGGTCGGCTCAGAGCATGTGGCTCAAGTTGAGACTGTGGTGAGGGATGGACACTTATG